CGGGGCTCAGGACACACACACGCGGGCTGAGGAGACGGCGTGAGACACACACAACGTCACACAACCTCGAGGGGCGTCCCTGGGCCCACGACTCCCCACCCGGGTTAGGTGAGCAAGGACTGAGGTCTCCAACCTGAGCTTCCTTCCCCAAAAGCCTCACCCAAATGAATTACCTGCGGATCTTGACGGGAACAAAAATCACTTTCAAGTTAGAAAAATTACTAATGAATTATTTAAAAGAACTTCAGCTCCGAGGGGAGCTCTGGTGGCCTAGTGGTAAGGAGCTGCAACTACAATCCCAGAGGCGCTTGGTTTGAATCCACCAGATGCTCTGATTTGACGGTGCACTCACACAAAAATAATAAAAAAAATTTTAAAAAAAAGAACTTCAGCTCTAAACTATGGGATTCCATTTCGTTTCCCCCCAGCTTTTCCTCTGGGAGACCTCACAGACATGTAACCACATTTGAGAAGTCCCCAAACGCAACTGCACTTGGCTCCTTACAAAAGGCTGGCGTTTGAAGCCTCCCAGAAGAGATCCAGAAGGCCTGACGCTCTCTGTCCAGGACCTCAGACACCAAAAATCCCACAGAACAGCCCTACTCTGACACACGGGGTCACTAGGAGGCGGAATCAGTTACTCTATAACTGCTTCTCCGTTTGCTTGTTTGAACTAAGTCTGACCTAGCTGAAAGCTTAAAGAAGGAAGCAAACACATCCACAAGGGCCCCCCGACGGGTGCCAACGGACCCGGAACAGCACGAGGCCCTCGTAAAACCCCATCCCAGCTGAGCCAGATCCGGGACACACAGGAAGTTCTGGTGGAGAGTTTGGGGCGAGAGTTTAAATTCATCTTCCTTCCATGGATTGACTTGTGTCTCCCAAAATACATGTCCAGGTGTGGGGGGAACCCTGATTCTCAGCGGCTTCCCAGCTGTGTCATTGGGAAATTATGGAATGCCGTGATCAGCTCCGATGTCGTCTGATGTGGACAAGCCATCAGAAGGGCATTAGGGGTTAACAACCGTACTCGGACCACAGCCCTCAGCCCATGGAAGGGACGCTCCCTCGGGGTCTGGCCTGAATTTTATACAAGATGAGAGACCCAACTATGGAAAGAGGGACCTCAGTGCCATGAAGGAACAAACAGCGGGGAGCAGACATCCCTTTGGACCCAGGGTTCCTATGCTGAGAACCTTCTAGATCCTGTGAAAGATTGATGCCAAGACCTCTGGAGATTACCCAAGAACATGGTCAACAGTCACTGAAAGATCAAGACCATCCCAACAGCCAACAAAGAGAGAAGTCCTCTGCCTCCAGCTGCTGCCCAGAGTTCAGGCTTCTGGCCTCCTACAGGGTGGCAGTTTCTGTTGGCTCAAGCACCCTCCTGGGGTGTCTCTGCGGAGAACCGAGGCAGGACCCGGGGGACAGGAACAGCCCAGCAGTGACTTACTTCCTCTGGGATCTCCCACTGCAGCCTGGTCGGGTACGGGATGTTGGGGTTGGTGTCCCCCTTACAGTGACCGTCGTCCGTGTAGCCCAGCTGGAAGCAGTCGGTGGACATGACGTACTGCCAAAGAGAAGACATTGTGAGCACGGGGACGGTCACTACAGTCAGCAAGAAGCGTCTGGAAAGGCGCCCTTGTTCACAGGGGTGGCAGTTAATGGGCACCCCGTATTAATCACTCAGCACTTTCCGGCATCCTCACAGCCACCTGGAGTCCCAGGCGGGGCGACGTGAAAACACTTACAGCTACCTGAAAGGCTGCATGTTCACGTCCCCCAGAAGTGCCTTGTGAGAAAGACCTGGTAACGAGCGTCCAGTACACCAACCACTGGAACCCTCACAAAGCAGAGCTCTGCCCCCCACACGCGGGGTCGCTGAGGGTCAGCATCCACTCCAGGGACAGCCACCGGTAAGGTCTCAGCTGTCACTCCCCATCTCACAACCGAGACAGCCTCGGTCAGGGAAGAGAGGTCACCGTCCACTTCAGGAGCAGGCTGTCGGTGTGTATATCTCCTCCCACCACAGCGTGCACTCTGAGCGTGGACACACACCGACTGTGTGCGGACACACACTGACGGGGCACCTACCGTCATCAGCGACCCTGCCTGCACCTGGGAGGACGGTCAGTGAAAGGGACAAGCATCCCCACCCTCCTCGAAACGGGACAGAACACCACGTGACCCAGCAAGTCTGCTCCCGCCTGTGTACCCGAACCCAAGACCCCACGGCCGCCCTGCTGACTGAGTCCAGCTCACGCGAGCCTGTGTCCAAAGCTGTCACCTGAGGGATGGTCGGCAAACTGAGAGGGAACCCCAGTGGCCTCGTCCATAGGGACCTGCCCTGCTAATTCCGACGGGGCACCTCTCCACTGGTTCAAATCCTCTAGCCGCTTCTCGAGAGCAGGAGAGGTCATCTCCTCCGGGGCCATTTATAGGCTCCCAAAAAAGGGGGTCAGCCATGAGTCAGTTCCAACTCGAGAGCAGTGAGTCGTTTGCTGAGAAAAAAAGATTCCAGGTTTCCTGGACGTACTGAGGCTAGAGGCACCATGAAACTATGTTTGTCAGCTATTGTGTAACTTTTAACCAAAACCGCCCCCGAAGGCTGGGGCTGTGGGTTCCCAGTGCTCTGGGCCCAGTATTCTGCAAACCCAGAACTGCTCAAAGCTAAGGTCTGCTTTCGAATGAGAGAGCGAGAGGAAAAGTGAGCGGTGAAGGTCTGCTTCTGAATAAGAACGAGAGGAAAAGTGAGCGGTGAAGGTCTGCTTCCGAATGAGAGAGCGAGTGGTGAAGGTCCGCATTCTGCGAGCCAAGACCTCAAAGCACTTGCTTCTGCTGGGCCTGACATGTGGCTGCCGCTGCTGTGGTTAGAGGTCACTGAGTCCTGCCTGGACACAGCTGCCCCACATGCAGCAGCCGGAGATCGTGCCTGCTCCTGGGCTGTCCTCACATCCCTGCACGTTCAAGCCCCCCAGGTAGCGAGGGAAAGGTCAGGAGACCGAGGAAGGAAGGGGTTGTTATTTGTGGATGAGCTGAGCGTTGGCCCTGCCCTGGAACCAGGGTGCTGCTGGCCATCTCTGGTCAGGAGGGGCCGTGGTCACAGAAGTGAGACGGGGAGGCCCGTGGTTTGGGATTTAATTTACACGTGGTCCTGACACAGTGAGACGTTGCCATCAAACTACTAAATCCAGTTCAGTCTGGCATGTGGACTCACAAAAAGCAACTTCCGGTGGTGGCCGGAGAGGCGAGGACTCACCTCCCACAGGTGGCCCACGATGGGGGCGTCCGCCCACGAGTGCTCCGCGTTCATGCCCATCTTGCCGTTTTTGAAGACGATGAATGTGAACGACTTGTCAAACCACCTACAGGAAGCAGACGTGTTCACGGGTCGTAAATGCTTGAAAAGGACAGAGATATATCCAACCACAAACGAACGGATCGAGAAATTAGGGTCCATTCACATGATGGAATACTCTGCCGCACGCAGGAGCAATAACTTTGTAAATGATTCCCTAACTTGGGAGGGACTGGAGAACATTATATTGAGTGAACTACCTCAGTCCCACAAGGATAAATATTGTATAAGACCATTATTGTAGAATGAATATAAGGATCTGGGGGGTGGGAGAGGCTGGAAGCAGAGGGATGTGGATGTGCAGGGGGAAGAGGGGATTAATCATTGGAGTGTACAATCTGATGGGTGGAAGGGTGAGGGAAATTGAAAGAATATGTTCGAATTTGTATTAGAATGTTGTAAATAGAAAAATAGTAAAAGGACAGAGATAAACAAGGACTACATTCCTGTCACTCTCGGAAGGGGCGACGCTGCTTTCACCCTGATTTCCTAACACCTGAGGGCCTGGGTAGTTTGAACGGTCACGTGTTCAGCTGGCAACTGAAAAGTGGGACCCCACCCTTCAAGGGCAGAAAAGGAGGCCACCAGGTGGAGTGGCCTCATCGTGACCACACAAGCCCGGGTGGCTGACACCCCAGGTCTCTCTCAAAACCCAGGCTTCCTACCACCTTCCTCCACCAGGCTCAGCTGTCACCACATCTGCAGATGATGATGGGGCCACAGGGGGTAGAATCTGCTGTGTAGGCAGTGTGACTGGGTGTGTGTGTGGGGGGGGTTGTGAATGCAGGGTCCATGTGGACATCTGCGACTGCGTGCACGGGAGAGAGAAGTGTGTGAGTCTGCGTAACGTGTGTGAGAACACCTTCCCACTGGAAGACGGTGAGTGTGAACGCCTCCCGCTGGAAGAGGGTGAGTGTGAACGCCTCCCCGCTGGAAGAGGGTGAGCGTGAACGCCTCCCCGCT